TTTTTTTTACTTCATTGTTTTTTTATTTTAACTACCACCTATTAGTACCTGCACTAATGAAAGGTCATTTTCAACTTTAAAAAGATTAAATAGCCAAATCTATCTCAGAGATAAGTAGTTCTCATTTTTTAAATTCCATTAATAAAATTACAATGGATATAATAAGTTCTTACTAATAAAATTTTTATATGCAAAACTTAATTATAATAAATTCTTAGTCATACATAATATTTATATATTTTTTATAGTATACGCAATAAGAGTTATTTATATTTTGATAATATAATCATTTGTACTAATTATAAATATAATTGTTAAATTATATATTTTTTAAAATACCATTATTTGCAACAAGAATTACTTAAATTTTATTGTAATCTTATTTTTTTTAAAATATTTATGTATAATAAATTTTTAATATAATAATCTGTATAAAATTTATACATTTCAAATTAATCTTATTGTATATAATCATTAAAATAAATTCATGGTTAAATAATGGGATGCTATATATAGTATTTTAATAAAAAATAAAATCTATAATGAAATTCTCTGTAAAATTCGGATAAATCCTGTACGCCATTGTTTCATTTATTTATTTAAATAAATTTTTTCAAAATCATTTCATGGTTAAATTTTTCAAAATATTATAAAAGAATATTAATCTATTATTAAAGTAATGTTTAAATTAATGTTTAAAGTAATGTTTAAAATAATTATATATTAATTCATCTTTTTACCTTCAAATGCTTTTTTATGTTTGAACTGCAGGACATTGAGATTGAAATATTTGCGTTGGGACATAATTTACATTTACAAAGTGTAGACATGGTATCATTAATTCTCTTTTTGGTTTAAAATTTTTCAAATTGGGGCCAGGGAAGGGTTAAATCTTCTTCATCTGAAGATAAGTACTATGGACATAATATTCTTTTAAAATAAATTATAACGTTTTGCGTTACCATTACTCAAAACAAAAGACGCGTTACCGTTACTCGTTACCTTTAAAAGAAGGTAACGAATGGCGTTCCTTCTTTTCAAAAAAGTAACGACGTTAAAACACATTATAAATCAATAACATTCAACGCTATACATCATAACTCATTAAAATTTGTAACCATATTTTGTTAACCAAATTTCGGATTCATATATTTTTTTATTTAATTACAAAAATAGTGAAAAAAATGTGGTTAGAATTTTTAAAAAATTTCTAAACCTTGTATAATTTGAACATTGAATTTAAAATAACTATTTTATCGGACGTAAAAATTCAAATAGCTTGGCATGCCTAGACAAACGAATTAATTAATTCGCTAAATTCGTAATTAATTTAGTCAAGCCAGGACGAATACTAGTGATGTAAAGTAACGTGACGATTTTAACAATATTACCTTTTTTGAGGATAAGGAACGCCATTGTTTGTTTCAAAAGATAATAAGTAGCGCGTTGTTTTTGAGTAACGGTAACGTAAAACGTTACTCGATACTTAAAATTTTTTCTTAAAGAATATGGAAAATTTTCTTTTATATATTTATGATATTTAATTTTATATTTTAAAAATATATTAAAAAATTGCATGATATATAAAACAATATTTAAAAAACGTAAAAAAAATCATATCAGCTATTTAAAACAAGACAAATATAAAAGATATATAAGGGGGGGGGGGGTGGAGCAAAAAGTGGTTCTCATTAAGATCCGAGGACCTTTAGAATATTAACAGGTTAGACCTTGTCTGCCTATAGGATAAGAGTCTTAAAGTCATTCTATACCCTTTGATCATACTTAGCTCCCCATCCATCGGATAGCAAAGGACCATTGGCTCTAGGAACAGCTTCAAGCCATTCATGACCAGAGTCTTGTCCCAAGTATTTTAGGATTGGTATATCTTCAAACGAGAAGTTAGCTAAAAGAGAGTTAAGAAAGTCTCTTTGTGCCGAGGACTTTGAAAGAGATAAAAGGCATAAATTTTTCCTCCATAGTTACAGGCAATTTCAAATAGACTAAATCTACCTCTCACAAGCTTACTTATAACCTCCTCGCATTGTATACGTGAAGAGAAAGTTGACAAAAGAACTAAATTAAGAGGGAGAACACCAGTCACCATGATTGGTCGGAAGTTGTGCAATTGCCCAATTTTATAAATAATTTAAGCCGAGCTTTTAATTCATATCAACCACCAAAGTTCTCCTTTTTTTATTTTATTTATTACATTTATGTTGTTGAATTTTATACAGTTAAGTTTGTTAATTTGATTAATATTTAATAAATCAAGGTATGTTAATTTTTATTAATATTTAATTTATACTATAAATAACATGTGTCAATAATACTATTTCTCTAGATGAAGATGATTTAACTCCTCCCTGGCTTCAGTATGTAACATTTTTTACACAAATAGAGAATATACACTTTGTAAGTGTAGATGGTGCCCTAAATCAAATATTTTAACCTCGATGTCCAGTAAAAAAAACATATAAAGGTATAAATATGAATTTAGATTGAATTCTGATAAACCTAAAAATATTCGACAAGGATCTGAATGAGGTTTCAACTAATCAATTTTTTTGAAAATGAAGATCATTCTTCAAATATTTTATTCCCCCATTTAAAATTGTTATTTATTAAATATAATAAACCATTTTCTGGGCCAGTTAAACGTGTGTTTAGCACAGCGACAGCTATGTTAACTACTAAGCACTCTTGTTTATCTAGTCAAAATTTTAATAAAAAATGATTACAAAATGAACGTATCTTATAATATTTTTTGTATAATTTTATTTTTTATCTATGAGAAAAAATATAAATGAAATTATTTAGAATATTTAGTATTATTTAATAATGAGTAACACGTTACTTTTTTTGAATAGTGAGTAATGCTTTCCTTTTTCATAAGATACCAAGTAACGGTAACATGTTCTTATTTTTTTGAATAGCGAGTAACATGTAACGTTCCTTTTTTTCAACGTAATGAGGATCGCGTTTCATTTTTAAAGTATACAGCACTAGGCATTACAAAATAATATTACTATAATATTTAAATAATTTATTGATAAATTTATTATAAAAAGAAACCTTATATGCTTTAGAAGATTTAAAGCATACAAATAAGTAAAACATTTATAGAACAATATATTATATTTTAATAAAGAAATAATATCGAATAATTTACTAATTAATTAAGATCTTTTAACTACGGATCTAACAATGTATGATCATAAAATGGCCTAAAACAATGCTAATATCGGATACGTGTTGTTGAAAATATCGCACCGAACATATTTTTTTAAACGGTAAATTCGGCCCTGATCTTATACATATAATAGTAGTACAACCATCGCTAGTAACGGAATACGATATAAATGAAACAAGGGATAACGAGTATCGTAGGCCTGGTTGAGAAAGAGCCAAGAATTGTTAACTCTTGCGAATCTAGACTTATAATTTCCTTAAACCCATTTTCTTTTAAATATTAATTGATTTAAGACTAATTTTTGGAAATTTATACATTTTACTTATGTTTTCAACCTTTGTAATTTCCTTGAACTATAACCATTACAGTTTTTTATCCTTAAGCCATACCCTTATTAGACCTATAAAAATATATCAAATATTTTGCATTATTCGTATTCGGAATACAAAAATAAAACATTCGATTTGATTCGAGTTTAAAATTAAATATAAAATTTTCAAAAGCGAAAAAAAGGAATTATTAAATTTAAAAAATTAATAATGTGAAAATAAATTTTAAAAAATTTATCCACTAAACATTTTAAAGATTTACTAACAAATAATTTTGAATATTTACTAATAATAAAATATTTTTTGAATAAATCAATCTAATAATGAAAAGGTTATTATTCGACAAATAATTTCCTTCATTCCCATTCGATTAAAATTTTATAATCAAATAGTTATGTTATTTTTATTAACAAAATACAATTGAATAGCAAAAAGATTTGAGAATATTTTTAGGTAAATTTGTATTTTATTAAATAAATAAATATTAGAAATGAAATAGCATATAATAATAATTAGGGGTGTACCGATACCACTTTTTGGAGGCCGATCCGATATTCCAGATATTAAATTGATATCGGCCGATAACCGATCCGATATCATATCTAATTTTGTATTCTGTAAAGATACCGGTTTTAATTTTTAATTTACTTTTTATTAGTACAACATCTATAATTTTACTATATCATAACATATGTCATTTAAATATATTATAATGATCAGTTATAGTTTATATTCAATTCAATTGCTATTATTTATATAATAAGTAATAACATTAATCTATTTACATAATTAGTAATAAACAAATATATTATGAAATTTGAAATTAATATTTAAAATTAATATATCGAAGATTTCTTTTTAGAAATACCAAAATTTCCAATTTATCAGAGATCGGTCTGCGGTGAACTGTTAATATCACTAGCATCACTAAAAACAGATTCTGAAGAGATTAATGAACACTTTTTTAAAGAATGCGAAAAAAAAATAACTATTTTGCAGAATGTTTATTAACTAATTATTACTATTAAAAAATTAAACATAAAAATATATTTCGATTTTATTTATAAAAATAAATGGTTTTTTAGATACAACTTTTTTTAAATTTTGTTAAAAGCGCCATTTTATATCGGATCGGAAAATTTTATAATATTTGCCGATAACTGATATTGTAAAATGGGCGAAATATCGGCCCGATCCGATCCGATATAAAATATCGGTACATCCCTAATAATAATTAATGTTTATTAATATGTTAAATATCCTTATATTCAAAAAATTTACAAAAGGCACGCCACTCGTTATATATATTTTAAAAATTTCTAGAATAACTACTTTATTCTCCCCATATTTAGGGATATGGCTTATCCCTGCATGCCCTACCTACTACACCACTAACTATACACAAAGTAAAATGATCAAGTTATTAAATCTTTTCTTTTTTATGCTCATTATTTAAAAACTTTATTTCAAAATATCAGCAGACTTATTGAGCATAAACGACGAACTAAACCAACTATTTTTAAAATACCAGCAATTCGAATCCACATGCATCACTGACCCATGCAAAGTTTTTTTCTATTTATAATTTTTTTCTAATCCTTTTTCCATATTTATTAAAAATATAATAGTGTTATTCCATGTCAAATTGATCACGATACTTCTGAGGGATTTGGATTTAGTTTTGTATGCGAATTGAAGTACTCGTAACTATAGCGGTGTTCAAATATTAGCATCCGAGCTTTAATATTTGAGGCATCATGGGTCAAAATATGAGAAAAAGACCTATTTTTACTCTTATCCTTAAATTAAAAATTAACTAAAAACTAGAGAATTACATATAATGATTCTAAAAGAAAATAAAGTGTATATATTATATTTTTAAAAATATTTTAATCTTTTTAATGTGAACCTCATTCTAAAGTTTGAAATCCTTTAAAATCCGAGTTTCTCCTTTTTTTATAGAATTAAACAATGTCACTATGACTAAAATTTATCTGCATATAAAAGAGTTATGGGGAAAATCAATTATAATACTAAACAGCGGCCTTTTTGTTCAATAGATGGCATATTCAATTAATTGTTCTAACATTATTTTAAATGTATTTATTATTTTATTTTCTATAATAATAAAAATCTAAAATACATAAAACTTCTAAAAGAATGAAGGTTGTTTGAAAAATATTTTTGTGAAATATGGCTTTATATATTTATTTACTTTAGATATTTTCTTATCAATAAAAATTAAAATATTTCATAAATATATGGCTAACTGCAAATGCCTAGGTAAACTGCAAATGCTTATTGATATATTCTCTATTAATTGAAGTGAGATTCATTTTCTTATGATATAAATAACTTATAAAAATGAAATTATTAGATATATTCAATAATATATACATTAATAGTTGTTTTTCCTTTTATATTATAATAAATAGTTTAAATCCTTTAGATATAATATTAAAAATTATTATAATTACATTTTAAATTTCAATAATATTTAACCGCAAGTTGGCTTATGATTATTTTATGAAAAAAATTTTAAAATTATTTTTTGTTTTAATATATCTTAAAATCATTATATTATTACTTAAAAAGATGTTTGATTAAACTGCAAATGCTCAGGTAAAATTTTTTGATATATACTTTCTTAATTAAAGTGAGATTCATTTTCTTATTGATATAAATAAATAACTTATAAATTAAATTATTAGATATATTCAATAAATATACAAAAATTTTTACCTAAGCATTTGCAGTTTATTAGGGCATTTGCAGTTTAGTTGAACCGTGAATATATATTTTAGATTTTTTACTATAATAGAATATAATATAAATTTTAGATAGTGCTGTAAACGTTACTTCAAAAAAGAAACGCGTTATTCGTTACGTAAAAATTACTAATATTTTATATAATTCTTTTTGTTGATTTTCCCCCAGAGATAATAAAAATAAAAATATACAAAATAATATATTATAAGATAAGATCTTTTTATAATTTTTTATTTATTTTCAATTAATTTTCAAAATTTGATCAGATAAACACGGATGCTAGTGCTTAACACAGTTCGCTCTGCTAAACACACGATATCGATTTTTTTTTTTAATCTATATCAGAAGTTAATTTGCTATGTGCATTATTAAAAGAAATTAAGTTCATTATTAAAAGAAATTAAGTTTAATTTTTGTTTGTATTTGTCAAGATCTTTTCAAATATTTACCTAAGGCCACAATCTACACTTACAAAGTGTAGATCTAGTGCGCTTAACATTTTTAATGGTGTAAATAAATTTTTTCTCTGGGGCCAGGTCAGAGAAAAATGTAATAAATTAAATAAAAATGACGATCTTTGGTGGTTGATCTGAATTAAAAGCTCGGCTTAAATTATTTATAAAATTAAAATTAAAAAAATATAATATTATCATAAAATATTATTTTTCCATATTTTTGTGAAAAAAATTAAAGTAACATAATACGTTATTCGAATCGAATAATTACTTATATTCATACGAATAATAAAAATATTATTCGATTTGATTCCTCAAAAATTCGATTCGAAAATTAAACTCTTTAAATTTTTTTTGAATAATTTTTTTTAAAAATAATTTGTATTTAAATTTATTGTGCATGAAATTTATGAAAGATTTAATTAGATATTTTACTAAATATATTAGGAATTTTTAAAAAAATTTGATTAAAAATTTTTCCATTTTTTTTCAAACTCTCAAAATATTAGATTATTAAAATTTAAAAAGTGACTTAAAGATGTATAAATGAAGTAAGAAAATAAAATGTCCTTAAAGAACTTGTTAAATACTTAAATAATTTTAAATATTTATATATAAGTTTTAATATTTACGAATTATATAATAAATTTTAATAGAAAAAAATCATTCGATCGAAAAATTGGTAAAAAATTATTCGATGAATAATATATTTTCCTTGCGAATCGAATAAGGAATAATTAGTTTTAGGTATTATTTAGTTTTTCATAAAAATAGGTCATTTTCTATACTTTGACCCCTGATATCTCCAAAAATATAAGGGCATTCGAAGATTGCTTTATTTATGTGCACTAGTTTGTTTATAAAATTTCACCCAATCCAAGGGGCAAAAAAAAATATATAAAAATTATCTCATGGGCATTATCCATGAATTGAAATAGTGTTTGATCTTTTTTTAAATTTTATTCTCTCCTTTAAGCAAATAAGAGTTTAAATGAAGGGACAAAGAAGTTAAAAAAATGGATAAGAAAGAAAACAGCTTTGTGATATATTTTTTACTTATACTTTACCCATGAAAACAGACAAAAGAAAGTGATCCATTTCAACATACCAATATTTTTGTCGAAGACTCAATAACTTCGTGCAATGATATAATTATATTAACTAATAGACGAAAAACCCCGAGTTACACCGAGCACACAAGGAGACAATCCGGCTTTAGAAATATCGAAGAATCTTTACTTCCCGTATTAATCAAGTAAATAGTGAATAATAGATTATAAAAAATTCTCAAATAAAATGAATACTATGTCTATACTACGATAAGAAATTATATTGTTTTTACCAAGGTGTCTAACCTTTATGTTCAGTTCAATTCCGGTTATTTTTGAACAAATTTATATCTGTTCGTTACGGGTTGGAAATTCTTGTCGGTTTTACCTGGATATTTTATAAGATTTAGATTGTTTGAATTAATCAATAAAAATATTTTTAATTGATAATAATTTAACTAAAATATTTTAAAAACTTTTACAAATAAAAATTAAAGGAAATATATTGTATTTTTGTATTATAAAATATGAATAATAAATAACAAATCAAGTAAAATAACTTAGCTGATATCATTATTATAAAACCAAAAAATTTTATTTATTTACAAGTATTCAAATAATAAATTTTAAAATTTTACCTACGCTTTAAAATTTCGCAAAAATAAACAACCTATCACTTTGCTTGATAATCTCTTTCTTTTATTTATCAAGTGTGTAAAATAATTGTTCACAACTTACTTGGAACTGAAGTTGATTAAATTATTTATATTAAATTTGATAAATATAAAAAGATAAATAAAATTTCCTATCGGTTCAGGCCGAACTGAGAAGTCACGGTTTTTGTCAACCCGAGAAAACTAAACCTTTAAAATCTTGATTTTTACCAGGGATGTAAACCCTTCGTCAAAAAAACAGGATTCGAATTTATAGTTAGTTTAATAAAAGATTCATGTTCAGGGGTTAGAGCAATAAAATATCATAATTTATTTTTTATTATGCCAATAATCATTATTAAACAAAAAATTTAAAAATCATTTATCTTACAATCATATTTATTTTTTATATTATTTAAATACTCATCTAACAAAATGAAACTGGCCAAAACTATTGATATTGAAAACTTTATATTTACATAATTGCTTATATTTAAATTAAATTTGAAATATTGGATTTTATTTTCCTTACTTGATTTTATGTTTTTCTCTAAATATTTTATTAGAGTTGTTAAACGCTATTTTTAAAAGTAGCGCGCTACCGCTATAGCTATTTGTCAAAAAAATTAGCGCGCTACCGCTTTCGCTATTTGTCAAAAAAAGTAGCGCGCTATTAGCTACCTTTTTTCAAAAGTAGCTTTAGCTACTTTTTATAAAAAAATTTTTAGAACAAATGAAACAAATTTTTTTTATTTTTTTTTTGCTTATAATGTAAATGTATAATATATAATATATAAAAATCAACATTTATAAATATAAAAATATAGTTAATTTAGATTATAAAAAAATAAGCAATATATAAATATTTATTTTAATTTGTTGCATTTTAATAATAATATCATTTCAATATTATCATCCCCAAGTCTAGAGCGACGATCAGAAAGTATAAGCTTTGCTTTACTAAATAATCTCTCGACACTAGCACTTGAGGGCAAGGAAGCTCTAAAAATATTTAATCAGATCAATTTATAAATATAAATAAGTTTTTACCTTCTGTTATGTGTCCAACTATCTGCCGGTGTACATACATAAGATATATCTGATAACTCTACTATTAGAGCATCTTTCATCACTTTGAAGTTGTCGGCTATTTTATTCATAAGTGTCTGGCGACATAAAACTGTTGTGCCAGGGGATAAAGTTTTAATCATCATAGTAAATGATGGATTATCAACCAAGGACAATGGCTGAACTGTGTCAATAATAAAATCAACAATTACTTTATCAGCCAATTTTTGTGAAATATTGGCATGTTTATTATCAGTTAATTTGGTTTGGATAGTATTTGTCTTTTTGAATGAAGATTCTCTTATACCAAATTTTTTTATATGTTTCTCTATTTCCTTATAGCAATTGGCGTGAACAGTCTAATAAAATAAATAATATTATAATGTAAAAATAACAATTTACCTTTAGGTGTTTCTTCAGGTTATAGCTACTCGATTGATTTGATGATATATTTTTTTTACATTTTAAGCATAGGAATTTGAATCCAGATTTTGTTTTAATATTTATTTTAAAAAATTTTTCAAATCTAGGGAATGGGAAATCGTTATTAGAGCTATTAAGTATACATTTTCTTCCATTGAATCTTCCATGTCTGAATCACTTTCAAGGATTTGGATATCCATGGGCGATGCCATTTTAGATTATTAACACTGATTGAAAATATAAATTAAAAATTGAAAATATATTTAAATTTCAAAATTAAATAATAAATTATAATTAATTATGATATTATATTTAAATTTTCATGTTTATACTTACATTCATTATATTTTTTAAAAGTAGCGCGCTAAAAATTAAATAATTTTAAAAAAAGTAGCGGCTATTAGCTATAGCTACCAAAAAAGATAGCGCGCTACTTTAACAACTCTATATTTTACATTCTAAAATTGATATAAAAACAAAGATAAGGTATTCCTTTTCTATTATATTTTTAGCATATTAAATTATCATTTATAATAAAATTTTGCCTACAAAATGGAAATAAAACTAAAAATTTTGAAAAATTCGAAGAAAATACTGCCTTTTCATGATTTTGTTTATATAATTAATTATTTTATAAAAAAGTATTAATATTTTTTTTATACCTTGAACTCTCAACTTAAAAGGGTTTGGGTTCTGGTTTAGCAAAAATATGAGGTGCGGGTTCACATCTACGTTAATAAATTGATACTATTTTTAGTTTTTCTATTTTTTTTATAGGTTTAACAATTTTATTTATGATAGATTTAAAACTAAGATGCACATATTAAAACTAAATCCCGTTTATAAGAATATTAAAAATATGGCATATAAATAAAATTTAAAAAACAATTAGATAAGACAATTACAAAAAAGAGAGATGCGTTTATAGTTTCATTGATGAATTATCATACTAATGGCTTGCTTTTAGGTAGAAAGTTTTTCATTACGACCACCACTTAGTAGTTCACTTAATTTTCTACCTATAAAATGATGAATTGAATTACTCACCAAGAACCCCATGGGTATTGATGACAAATATTACATTTGCAATATCCGCATATTTATTCATTTTCAAGTTCAACTGAACTAATTGGCTTAAAGGTATTTGGGATATTGACTTTTTTATGGTAAATTACTATTTAATATTTAAAATTATACATTCAAGGAAGCAAATGAAAATTGATTCTTTTTTTAATAAATAAAAGAAAAAATTATGCCAATATGTTAAACATTTTTGGTTTAATTTTTATATAACATTATTTTATAATAAATTAAGAGAAGACCGTACGATTATGTTGCATAATTTTATAAAAAATGAGCGTCTGGCCAAATAAAGATGCTTATTTTTAATAAATAAAAGAAAAAATTAAAAATTTTGATAATAAATTTTTAAAAAAGATTTCCACACATTTTTAAAAAATATTAATTAATTTAAAATGAAAGTATTGAAATATTCTTTAACCCATTTAGTTTTGATATTGGGAAATTGATTATCAAAAAAGGAGGACCAGCAAACACTAACTTTCCAAAATTAAAGAGAAATCAAAACTTTTCACTATAATTTTAACAACTGAAAATATATTGGAGATTTTTATCTTTTAAAATAATAAAAACTTATATAGCAGGATATGAGTCAAAATCGATTATCCAATCTATACAATTTCTTTATCAAATTATTACTACCCATCTGCATTCTATAATCGTCGTCATTTATAACAAATCATCATTCTAAAAAATATTTTATTTAAATTAATAAAATATATAACATTGTAATCAGAGATATGCCGAGATACTATTTGCACGACCTGGCCCAGATTTAAAAAAAATTTTTTTTAGGCCCGATCCGGCCCTAATTTTTTTAAAATATATTACATCTATTTTTATTTTTTATAGCTAATAATGGCGATTTAAAATATCCAGTATAAGAATATACGGCCGTCCCAGGTTTTTTTTTAAAAAATTTTTTAGACCCTGCCCAGGTTTTTAAAAAAATATATTTTTAGGTCCGCCTGGATACATTTAAAAAATTAAAATACAAACATTGTCTGCAGGTTTCTGAAAGCTCTGTCCATATCTGCAGGTCTCTGATTGCCCGGGCCATACCTGCAGGTCTCTGATTATAATTATAAATGAAATCAATAAATGCATTTTGATGGATCTTAAATTCTTCCAAACAATTTTTTTTTTTCAAAATTAATTCATTTTTGTTACTTTAAAATTTTTCACCCATTTTAAAGTATTTATTATATTTTAAAAAAAGTTTTAATCTGATTTTTCTTCGTTTTCGGCTACTTTATATTTTTTTCATCCATTTATTTTAGTATTTTATAATTTTTCTTAATTTTCTTCAATATTTTTCTGTTAGCAACAGTTTTAAATAATCTAAATTTAACAAAATTTTTTTATGCCACAGCCAATTAATAAATATTTTTAAAAATTCAGGCCAGGTCCAGGCCCGTTAAAATATAATATTAGCATACCTATCCCATTGGGCCGCAGCTCATCGCGGCCCATGAAGGCCTCTGCGACCGATATACCTTATTTTGATTGACTTTTATAACCACCCTCCCTCCCCCACTCTCTTGAATGATTTTAGTTCCTTTTTCATGTTTAAAGTATATTTAATTTATATTTTGATTTTTCAATGCCTACTACAATATAACTTTCTATTAGCATTAGACTTTTATTGGCAGAGTTTTAGCTTAATAAAAATTAGATCACTTCATTTTTCACAAATACCTTGAGCCATCCCAATAGTAAAATCTAACATCTTATTGCCAAGATTATAATAAAAATCTGGAACCCATATTTGAACCATTTATTCTACTTCTTCAGGGATTAAATCTAGCTTAGATTATAACATTTTCTCCACTGTTTTATCTACTTTATTAACTATCTTTTGAATTTGAACTACTTCCGGAGACTTATTGTAAAACGATTTGCCATCAGAGTCTCATATTGAAATAACCTCAGGATTTAATTATATTTTTTCATAAACTTTGCCTTTGTTTTGCCACCAGAAA